TAAACTTCTACACACCCTGTCGGCATCTAAGAACACGAAAATTATTCTCAGAAAAATCACACAGAACAAATTACGCAAAAAATGGCCCCTTCAATCGAATGATGCGACAGTATAATCTACACTGTTAAGTCATTAGCATAACTATGTCAAAAGAAGAAATTTAAACCCATCTAAAACATAATAGAAATAATGTAAGTAAAACATTGTAACCATTGTATGTAGTCTACTTTGCTTGTCGAAATAAATAAATAAATATGTGTAAAGAAAAGTTTCAAACTACGAGCACAATATTTTGAATGAAAACTTTTTCGGAATATTTTCAATTGTGCTTGCCACACAATAAAGGGTGATACGGTCAAAATTTGGTCAAGGGAAAACGCGTGTAAATCGGTGAAATCATTTATTTAAAAAATCAAATTAAATTTCTTTTTCAAGTTCAATTAGTATAAAATTCAGGAAAAATATTCAGTTAGGCTTCCGCTTTTCCAAATCCGAATTGCCGGGCCTTACGCTTGACCCCTGCCATCAGATTTTGTACAGCCACCTTGTCCACCTTCTTCGCCGCAGAAAGCCAGTTTGCCTTGAACTGCTGCTCGCCCTTAGCAGTTTTTTTGGTCTTCTTTAGGTTCCGCTTGACAATAGTCCAGTATTTCTCAATTGGGCGGAGCTCTGGCGTGTTGGGAGGGTTCTTGTCCTTGGGAACCACCTGCACGTTGTTGGCGGCGTACCACTCCATGGCCTTTTTACCGTAATGGCAAGATGCCAAATCCGGCCAAAACAGTACGGAACAACCGTGTTTCTTCAGGAAAGGCAGCAGACGTTTATTCAAACACTCTTTCATGTAAATTTCTTGGTTGACAGTCCCGGAAGCTATGAAAATGCTGCTTTTCAAGCCACAGGTACAGATGGCTTGCCAAACCAGATATTTCTTTGCGAACTTTGACAGTTTCATGTGCTTGAAAACATCTGCTACCTTTCCCCTTCCTTTTGCCGTATAAAACTCCTGTCCCGGAAGCTGCTTGTAGTCGGCTTTGACGTAGGTTTCGTCGTCCATTACCACGCAGTCAAACTTCGTCAGCATCGTCGTGTACAGCCTCCGGGATCGCGCTTTGGCCGTCGTATTTTGTTTATCATCGTGATTTGGAGTCACTACCTTCTTGTAAGTCGATAGTCCGGCTCGTTTTTTGGCTCGATGCACGGTTGTAGACGATACACCCAGCTTATTTGCGGCATCTCGGAGAGAGAGGTTAGGGTTTCGCTTGAAACTACCGGCAACTCTCTTTGTCGTCTCAGCGGCTTCCGGTTTTCGATTTCCCCCCGATCCAGACTTCCTGGCTGTCGAACAACGTTCCCCAAACACTTTAATTACATTTGTAACGGTTGATTTGGCAACTTTTAGCGATTTTGCCAACTTTGCGTGCGAGTAGCTCGGATTTTCGCGATGCGCGAGCAAAATTTTGATACGCTGCTCTTCTTGCTTGGACGGCATTTTGACAACTGAAGAGTGAATTCCAAAATCAAAATAGGAGCAACATTCTACACACACACACCTTCAAAATGAGGGGTGTTCAGGTTTTATAAATGCAAAATTGAAAGAAATACGTCAAGTTGATATTGACCAAATTTTGACCGTATCACCCTTTATACAAATTCATGCATTGGTATTGGCATCGAAAGCTCTCAATTAATAACTTTGGAAGTGCATTTAGAACACTAAGTTGAGAGCACGCAATAAACTTATATGCGATAAGCAATAAGCTTGAAAAGAGAAGAAGAAGTATTTGCAAGTGAAATTTAGCGTGAATTATTAGCAAATTATTGGTAAGTTTTATGATCACCGACCCTGGGTGAAACCAAACTGCATAGAAGTATAACGGTAGAATGACGGTGACACAGGGAGATAAAATGTAAGTTCAACTGCTCTATTTCAGGTCTCGAATTCGACTCACTCGATCCGTTTATTCGTATGTGGCTTGAAGCCTATCGTGTAGAAAACATCGTACAAAGAGATGACAGATCTCATTTACTCATCGAATGCGCACGCTTACAATTTCATTTCGTATATCAAATGCGCCGGTTACTAATACACATCAATTCTTCCCCTTTTGAAAAGAAAGTTCTGATCTTGACCTTGTCAATGTAACTATAAAAATTCACAAATATACAATATCTTCAATTCAAAACATCAACCTCAAAAACGATAAATATCAATCCGAAATGATTTAGCTATCCAAACCTAATCGTAGTAGAATTCGGCAAGTCTATTCATCTTCTTAACACGTTTCGATCTTCTTGGTTCGAAAACCGAGTCTTCTTTGTCCCCTTGGACATCGTTATGTCTTCTTTTTCTACTTGTTGTAACAAATTCACTTGATGGATCCTCGATTGCTATCATCTCTGCGCGATCATTCGACCTAATCGAAGTTCCTTGGATTGGATTTTCACTCTCCCTTACTTTCGGATCGATCCTGTTGAGAACAACTAACGGCTGCCATTGACGGTCCTTCGACACTCGCAGTTGCGATCTATGCGCCATCGCGCTTGCGTTTCCAATCAGTACCTGAGTCACTATCTTCCTCCTCCGAATCATTGGTACGCATCCTTTCCATCAACTCATTTATGTGTCTGTCGGCCAATGGACCTGGTCTGTAAGAATCAACCAAGTTTACTGTATCCCGATGCATATTTTTAAGCTTAAAGCATTTCTTTTTAATATGTCCCTTCATACCACAGAAGTTGCAGAACATGCGCGAGTAATCTGGTTTATGACGCTCCATCCTGCCACCATTTCCTTGTCTAAAGTTGACCGATCTTGTTCCGTAGCTCCTTTGTCCGTCCCTGCTAGCATACTCTCTATCGTAGGGCCTAAAACCTAACCTGGTCTTGACCGGACCGCGACTGCTTCCTGCTTCCGTGTTGACCTCATCCGCTCGAGCATCCGCTTGGTAACGCGCAGCTAGTTTATATGTGTTGATCAGCTTCCCCAATGCTGAACCCGGGCCATTGCCAATTGCGGCTACTAGTCCTGAATTACCATTTTGTTGCTCATTTGTTGTACCTGCATTTGCCCTTGCTACTTCCCAGGTTGCAATTATTCTCTCGGCATTGGCCAAGGAAAGTTTTTCCTCGCTAAGAAGCCGTTGTCTTAGATTTTTATCTCGTAAACCCGCAATAATGCGGTCCAAAATAGCAACATCTTTAAAGTTTGCAAAAGCACAAAACTCTGCCTGCAGCTTTAAAGCCAAAATGAAATCCTCCGTCGTTTCATCGGGGTTTTGAACTCTTGTGCTGAATTTATATCGTTGGACTAAGTCCGGGTCAATCTTGTCTAATCTATTTTTCAGTTTCGCAATTAAATCGCCAAAAGACGCTTCTTCAAAATTTCCCGCAGGGTACAATAGTTTGATCTCCTCAAACATGACAGGCCCACTGAGGGTAACGAAATAAGCCATTTTGTCCTCGTCCTTTACTTTATTAACTAAGAAAAAATATTTTAACCGGGTGTACCAGTCATTGAAACTGGTACCTCTACGGTATGGATCCATGGTGCACGCAATGCTGGACGTACTCATGCTTATTTCATCTCAGATTTTGATCACCAGTAGCTTTGTTTTTACAAAATACAGCAGTACTCCTTTTGACCTTTGCCAACGATTTTGTAGGGGATCACTCCAATGTGCTTACGAATTATTATTTCAACTATAGATGGTATTAGCCACGCGGTGACGTAGTCTTATGAGAAATCGACCTCCAAGCCGAAAATCGCCACCACAGCGTGATAAAACCACTCCAAAATTCCTCAGGTATAATCGACCGATCTTACAAAGCGAGCCGCCGCCAGTTCCTTGCAAGGCGATGCTACTGTGGGTTAGTCCGAGAGGGAGATTTACTTCACTTTTTACACGCGATAACTTTTCCACGCCGTCACTTTTATGATCACCGACCCTGGGTGAAACCAAACTGCATAGAGGTATAACGGTAGAATGACGGTGACACAGGGAGATAAAATGTAAGTTCAACTGCTCTATTTCAGGTCTCGAATTCGACTCACTCGATCCGTTTATTCGTATGTGGCTTGAAGCCTATCGTGTAGAAAACCTCGTACAAAGAGATGACAGATCTCATTTACTCATCGAATACGCACGCTTACAATTTCATTTCGTATATCAAATGCGCCGGTTACTAATACACATCAGTAAGTAACATTTCCTTGGCAAATGTTTGATTATTTTTAATGAATGGCATAGAAATCATTTTTTTTTAATACTTTTGCATGTGAAAACATGGTGGGTTTTGTAAAAAAAACCTGATCAGTTCGGAAGTAGGTGTCTTCTACAAAATAGTTTCTGGTGACCAAGGCCTTCCTGACAGATTAGTGCAGAATTATCTCACTACGTGGTGCAAGTGATGTGAATTGTGAGTCATTGACAACCCTAATCCTGCCCCATATGTTGATGAGGTCGATATCTAGGTTCCAGGAATTGAGTCACCTCTCTGGCATCGTTGCCTGCCACTACGTGTTATTCATAAACCGACGGAAAATAAACATAATAAAAAATAGATCATACAGGCGTTTCACAAGCATCACTAGTGCCACGTAGTAAGAGAATTCTGCACTAATATGTCACCCTGCAGGAAGGCCTTGGTCACCTGAACTACTTTACAAAAGACATGTACTCCCTAAATGATCAGTGTTTTGAAAGATAGTCTACAGCGTGACCGACCAGGAAGGAGGCTCACATGCACACTAGAACCATAGAGGTAACTTTTCGTTTAAAAATCATTAGTTTCCACCGGTTGCTAGCACCGCGTTTCTGCAATCATCCGGTAAAGCACCGATGCGCGAAAATCTCCCTTTTGAATTAAAACTGTAAATGTTGAGTTTCAGATAACGCTTTACCCAGAAGGTATAAATTTTAATAGAAAAAAAAAACAAGCCCGACGGTGTGATAAGGTATTGCATTTTTAGATTGATTTAATGATAGTGCCCCACTCGTCACGAGCATTTCAGTCAATAAAGTCCATTGCCAAAACCACATTGAAGTTTTCGCACAACTTGCAGTTGCAAAGTAGTGGCGCTAATGATCGTTAAGGTGCGAGTCACAAATGGCAACGATGATGAGCAGTCGGTTGGCGTGTGCTTTCCTATTACTGGTTCCGGTGTGGTGTGCACTCGGCCAAACCCTTCGGAACCTGAACGCTAGTGACTGGTGGGAACAGTCCGGGTTCTATCAAATCTACCCGCGATCGTTCAAAGACAGTGATGGCGATGGCATTGGAGATTTGAATGGAATCACTCAGAAGTTACCGTACTTAAAATCTCTGGGAATTAAGGCTTTCTGGCTGTCACCGATCTACAAAAGTCCGATGGCCGATTTTGGCTATGATATTGCCAATTTTCGGGATATACAGCCGGAGTACGGGACGATGGCGAATTTCGAAAATTTGGTGAAGGAAGCGAAGAGTTTGGGACTGAAAGTCATTCTGGATTTTGTTCCCAATCATACCAGTGACGAGCACGAGTGGTTCGTGAAGAGTGAGAACCGCGAGGCAGGCTACGAAGATTATTATGTGTGGCATGATGGCAAACCGGGTACCAATTTGGATCAGAACGATCCACCGAATAATTGGGTAAGTTCACGATAATATCGAAGTTGACGAATTTAGAATATTCCTTTTCGAGTAGGTCGAAAATTTCTATGGAAGTGCATGGAAGTGGAGCGATAAACGGCAGCAGTATTATCTCCATCAATTTCACCGTAAGCAACCGGATCTAAACTACCGCAATCCGAAGGTAGTTGAAGAAATGAAAGAAGTACTGCGATTCTGGCTAAGGAAAGGAGTAGATGGTTTCCGAATCGACGCCGTCAATTGGTTGTTCGAAGATACCAACTTCCAGGATGAGCCTTTTTCCGGGAACGCTCAAGACCCGCTAGTATACGAGTACCTAAACCATATATATACCCAAAATTTACCGGAAACGGTTGATATGGTGTACCAATGGCGTGCGGTTATGGATGAATACAAGATGCAGTATGGTGGAGACACTCGGGTTCTGATGACGGAGGCGTGGTCTGATCTTTCGGTACTAAAAACCTACTTTGAAGACGAAAACGGTCGACAAGGTTCACAGATGCCATTCAACTTTCAGTTGATTCTTCGATTGGACGCTAATAATTACAAAGCTTCCGATTTCAAAACGGTCATTGATTCATGGCTCGACACCGTTCCCGTAGGACAGACTCCAAACTGGGTGGTAAGTATTTTGCCAACTGATCCTCCTCGTCTTATCCAATCATTCTTTGACACATCCCCCAGCTTGGAAACCATGACAGACGACGTGTTGCTTCGCGCATGGGAGGAGTGCACATGACCGACATCATGGAGATGGTTCAGCTCTCTATTCCCGGAGTTTCTGTGACCTATCAGGGCGAAGAGATCGGTATGACAGACTACGAACTGAGCTGGGCTGATACGGTCGATCCTGCTGCCTGTTTGCGATCTCCAGAAAATTTCCTGCAGTACACCAGAGATCCAGCTCGCACTCCATTCCAGTGGGATAATACGACTAACGCAGGTTTCACAAACCACTCCAAACCATGGCTACCGGTTTCACCAGCATACGTAACGGTAAATGTACAAGCTGAGGAGCAAGCCAGCTGGAGTCACTTGAAGGTATTCAAAGCCTTGATGGAGTTGCGCGAGAGGAGTGATTTCCGCAATTGCCACTACCAGACGGCAATCCTTGGGACTAGCACTTTTGCGATACTGCGAACAGGGCCGAGCGTGGAAGAATCGGAGGTTTGGGTTACGGTGGTCAATCTTGCAAACTCAACTTCCACTGTTAACGTCGCGCAGTTATTTAAGCAGTATAAAACGCGTTCGCAGGATAAGCTTAAGGTGGTGGTTCGAAGCGTGTCATCCAAACGATCGGGAGGGTAATGGATATTAGTGAATGTGGTTGGAATATGATTATATTTATTTTTCAATTTACAGAGATATGGTTTCAGCTAACGGTGTTGTCCTACAACCGTACGAAGGGTTGGTTCTGAGAAATGTTGCAGTGCAGATTCTGGTCAAACTTTCCATGTTGGTGGCAGCACCGATACTCGTGCTCTATGCTTGGTTTTAAACAATGAAATAGGACATGGAATTTTACTCACTCTGAGTAATAAATTTACATGGGGAAATACACTAAAAAACTAAATGTATATGGGGAAATACACCATAGCGCAAACTTGTACGATTTAAATTGAAAATGTCCAATCCGAAAAGTTCCTTAACCGAGTTTCGAAACGCCAAGCCGCGTCCGGTATGAGATGCCACGCCTTTTCTGGCTACACACTAATATCGAATTTGTTTATTATCGGTGCGAAACCGAACTTTTTGTCAGTGCGAACCTCACACTGACGTAGGTTTTAAAAACAAACGATCAAACTGGCTGTCAGAAAACAAGCAGATCCAATCTTGATACCCGATCCAGGTTGGAACTGAATAATAAACAAATTCGCTATAAGTTTTTGCATGCCGAGATTGGCACCGCCAACTAGCTCGGCATTTTATTTGGCTCACACTTAGAAAATATTACCGAACTCGGTTTGATTTCAACTGAGTTTTTATCTGCTGAACGCTCGGTAGTCTGTTCGGTTCAAAGAGGAATAACCGAGCTGTCGTTAGTTCTTTTTGTCACCCACAATCTGTCAAAGCTACCGAAAATCTTTCTTGGGTGACGAAAAATAAATTTAAGCAGAAATAACCGAACATCGGTTTACTCAAGAATTACCGAACGCTGTCAAACAAACCGACACACCTGTTGTAATTGCGAAATTCGGTTCTCTTGGGCAGCGCTCGATTTTCGCTTCAAATCCTGCATTAAATTTTGATTAAGGATGCGTTGCTTCAAATTTTCATAAAAATAAAACAAGTTTTGTCAAATAAATGTATAAAATATATTTATTTATTTTTGTTTTGGCGAATAAAAACTTCTGTAACGCTTCTGACTTTGAAGTCACCCAACAAACATTGAATCTTGAATAAGAGCTTATTCAGGCAAAAATAAGCTTCTTCATCTAAAAAATAGCTTATTCAGCAGTTGATCAACTCAAATTGTTTGTTGGGCATCCTTATTCAAATGGTTTTTAAATGCCTTTGCAAGGCAGAGACATAATCTTGTACATTTTCACGGCAGTATAAACAAACTATAGCACAAGATGCCTGCAAATATAATCATACCGTTAGTTTCAAATACTTACAAAAGATTTCATTCAAATGTGCATCCTCCTGTTGCTGCAGCTGCAGAACTTTTTCCATTTAACTAATGTTTTGCACACGTCCGACGAGCACACGCGAGAAAAAATGGCTGACTAATTTTAGACTCAGCTTAGAGAACCGAGTTTTCAGTTAAAATTTTCGTCGTGAAGTTGAGCGCAAGTGGAACGTTTGACGTTTAAGTGTTTGACGTTTAACACGTTTTAGCGAATATTCGGTTCAGTTTACCGAGTTTCTCGGTTTTCACGTAGCGAATTCGTAAATGTTGATACTTTACCATACTTTTCGGTTCAGTTTTCATTTCTATCTGTCAAATTTATACTATTTTACCGAAATTCGGGTCTGCTACGATAAATACGCCTGAAAAATGTTTTTAAACCAATTATTCGGTTTCTCGTTTGTAACCGAAGAGGTTCGATAGAAAATTAAACCGAGTTCGGTAATATTATCTAAGTGTGCTGATTCTTAATGAAAAACTTACCGAGATTCAGCTAACAAACGGGAATTTTGATGAGATCTCAACTAACAAACAGCTAAAATAATCCGTAACGATTTCTGCATTCGAATCCATACTAAAAATGTTCATAACCGTCATGAAAATTCTTTCCGTGAGTCTCCTATTCAGTTGTTTCTACACCTTATCACTCTACTAATACAGTAAATCGAAGAAAAAAAATCTACTGGGAATGTTCGACATGCTTTTGACAGTTCATTTGGCTCAAAACATTATCTTCACTCATCTCCTCTGAGGGTTTCTAGTTTAGACCATGTTTATGTTAGGGCTATTTTGAAGTTTAAAAGTCAGTTTGGTGCCGGTATGGCCGTTTTGCGGCTTTTGACGTTATTTAGGTCAGTTTAACGTTATGGAACCTTTTTTGTCATTTTATTAACCCGTACATGACGGATGTTTTTCTTTTTTCTACACCTCTCTCTATACTTGACTTTGACGTTCTTATACGAGCTATCGCCTGCTTTTTGAAGCACTTCCACAGTTATTAATTGAGATCTACACACTTAAAAATAACTATTTTTACACGAGACGTAATCCAGCGTTAACGTAAATTATGGAACGTAAACAAACATGTCATGTAAAATTAAGTGTTCCCAAACCGAAACATACGCAACTCGACGAAAAGTACGATTGATTGAATATATTTTCTCGTTTCTTTCAACTGATTCTTATGTCATTTGGGCCGCTTGCATGTCTCAGGGCACGGAAATTTACATGACTTTTTGGTAGTGTGTACATGAGCATGAAATTGTATATTGTCCGGCCAACACAATGTAGTGTATTAGCATAGAGGTAACTCTAAGACTAGAAGGTCCCGAAATAACGTGCTCAACTTTTTGGCTCAGCTCTGGTACTCTCTTCGGTCCAAAGCTAATCGATTCACCCCTCGAAACATAGGAAAAACCAATAACCCCTCATTTTATGTGTCAAACTTTCATGGCGAATCAAAACAAACATTGCGTAGTACTAGAATTTCGACTAGAATGGGGTACGTTAATCGTTTGCTTGGGACCAATAGGCTACTAAAGTGGTGAGCCAATTTAAAATCGTTAGTTTTGTATTGATTGTTGGTATTAGCAACAATCAATACGAAACTAACGATTTTAAATTGGCTCACCACTTTAGTAGCCTATTGGTCCCAAGCAAACGATTAACGTACCCTATTCTAGTTGAAATTCTATTACTACACTATGTTTGTTTTGATTCGCTATGAAAGTTTGACAGATAACATCAGGGGTGTGTGGATTTATGCAGAACATGCAGGGGTGAGTGAAATAGCTTGGGACTGCTTGGGACCGTTGTTCTGGTACTGAGTGAGCCAAAAATAATAATGATTTTCTTCGGGACCCAGTGGTCTTAGAGTTACCTCTATGGTATTAGTCAGCCCAGGGAAGTCGAGAAAATTTCCAACCCGAAGATTTCCTCAACCGGTCCGGGAATCGAATCCGCCGTCTCCGGCTGGGTAATACCATAGAGGTAACTCTAAGACAAGTAGGTCCCGAAGAAACGTGCTCAACTTTTTGGCTCACCTCTGGTACTATCTTCGGTCCCAAGCTTGTCGAATCACCCCTCAAAACATAGGAAAAACCAATAACCCCTCATTTTATCTGTCAAACTTTCATAGCGAATCAAAACAAACATTGCGTAGTACTAGAATTTCGACTAGAATAGGGTATGTTAATCGTTTGCTTGGGACCAATAGGCTACTAAAGTGGTGAGCCAATTTAAAATCGTTAGTTTCGTATTGATTGTTGGTAATACAGTGCCTTTACTGATTAGACTATCTGGAGCCTGTACATCGTGACACTCAAATTACGTATTGTGGCGTTTTTGAGAACATTTTAGCTTCTGCCGAGGCTTCTGCTGATATTGATGTATTGAGAAGAGTTACTTAGTTTTTCATTTGTCATGTTCTGGAATACCCAAATAAGTTCAATGTTCAAAGTCACAAATAAGCATATAAGGGAAGTGTATGTAATGTCGGCCTAAGTGTCCCTAATTTGGGCCCATACATAGCAACCAAAAATATCCATTAGTACCGTCCCAATGACGCGATATTCTAGATACAATTGATAAATAGCCGATTTTTAGCGATGGGCCCAGTATTAGATCCATAGGCCAACATTAGAGCCATTTCCCCTATATTGAATAAATGATTTATAACAGTGTACAATGCTGAATAAAACGGGTTGTCAAATTATGTGCTGATAAAACCTCATTGAGATCGATCGATGCACCTTTATTCCGCTGTTTGCTCTCTCTCTGATTTGATTAATATACTTATTAAAAGCTATACAAACGATGACTGTCTTCCTGATTCAACACCAGAAGTTTGATCTAATAACATACTGAATAAGTGTAATTTGCACATTCATTGACGCTTTAATTCGAATGTATTCATTCATGATTGCTTTTTTTTTTTCCTCTGTTCGGGACATAACACCACTGCGACCAGTAATTTGATCTATTGTAGTAAAGGGTGATACGGTCAAAATTTGGTCAAGGGAAAACGCGTGTAAATCGGTGAAATCGTTTATTTAAAAAATCAAATTAAATTTCTTTTTCAAGTTCAATTAGTATAAAATTCAGGAAAAATATTCAGTTAGCAGTTTTTTTGGTCTTCTTTAGGTTCCGCTTGACAATAGCCCAGTATTTCTCAATTGGGCGGAGCTCTGGCGTGTTGGGAGGGTTCTTGTCCTTGGGAACCACCTGCACGTTGTTGGCGGCGTACCACTCCATGGCCTTTTTACCGTAATGGCAAGATGCCAAATCCGGCCATAACAGTACGTAACAACCGTGTTTCTTCAGGAAAGGCAGCAGACGTTTATTCAAACACTCTTTCACGTAAATTTCTTGGTTGACAGTCCCGGAAGCTATGAAAATGCTGCTTTTCAAGCCACAGGTACAGATGGCTTGCCAAACCAGATATTTCTTTGCGAACTTTGACAGTTTCATGTGCTTGAAAACATCTGCTACCTTTCCCCTTCCTTTTGCCGTATAAAACTCCTGTCCCGGAAGCTGCTTGTAGTCGGCTTTGACGTAGGTTTCGTCGTCCATTACCACGCAGTCAAACTTCGTCAGCATCGTCGTGTACAGCCTCCGGGATCGCGCTTTGGCCGTCGTATTTTGTTTATCATCGCGATTTGGAGTCACTACCTTCTTGTAAGTCGATAGTCCGGCTCGTTTTTTGGCTCGATGCACGGTTGTAGACGATACCAAATTGACCAAATTTTGACCGTATAACCCTTTATATCCCGTGTCCTTAGTTTAGTACATGTCGTATTACTCCATCACTATTGAGAAATGATGAAGTATTCGGTTTTGATACAGTTGTCATTCTTGCCTTCATAGCAAGGAATCGATTCTAACTGAAAGGTTCCGCTATTTATACCCTTCGGAGTTGGAACACCCTCCAAAGGCGCGCCCCTTTGTCAGTCAAAATTGGATTCCTTCACAACAAAAACAAGCTATGACACCGATAATGACCATGCATCAGAACCCTAGTCTTAAGCACTTCAAACTAGGGAACAACGATTAGAAGATTAGGAATCACATAGGTGAAGACTAACTAACTCATTTTTTCCTTGTTTCAAGATCATCCTCGGTCCAGGCAACCCGAGGACTTATCACTATCAACAAGGCATAAAAAGTAACAAGGACTAAGATGTGTTCCTTTGATTACTGAAAAATCCTGTTCCCCTAGTTTGAAGAAGTTAGGACTAAGAATCGGTGGTAGATCTTACATCCCGTAACGTACCACGAAAAGGTGATCTACCCACGTTACGGGGCTTCATGATTGCTTTATTATACGTCTAATAATTGTTTTCTAGCTCCATTATTAGATTCCATTGCATTGCTTAACAATTTTCTACGCCTAATTAATTTAAATCGTAAACATAGATCGTATCACTCACGACAACCATTTCATCAATCTATCGAAAAGAATAGCCCAGCATCCTTTCCATCGAAATTAGAGAGATGGAGAGGTAACATTGGTCTCACGTAAAACAACTATGAATGAATAAATCATTCTCACATATCCTTAAATTAGCTAGAGTTACGGCTGGGAGTGCTGATAGGTATTCAGATTCAAGCTTTTATTGCTTATTTTGCATATGATGTACTCTAAGATAGCTCAGATGGCAAGGCAAGCGGCTGGTGATCGGAAGGTCATGGTTTGAATCCCATCTAACGACTGTGTGGTTAGTGCGTGCTTCGACAGAAATAAAATGACACAACATAATCACTAACGAGAGAGAACAGCCCTACGCTGCTGTCCCGTTCTTATTTTCGGATTAATTATCCCGTAATTGAATAATCATTTAACAAATGTATAATAGTGTCTAATTAAACATGATTTCACATGATAATCAAGCGTTTATAAATACACCTTTATACCATCGCTGTTTAAGGAAATAATGATGTCTAATAAACGCTGAATAATCAAAAATTTGATCGAACAAGCTCTGTTACAACTCTTGTAAGTCGAATAAAAGCTTCTCGACATACCTTATTCAACACCAAATATTTCGATGTTGTGGTTGAATAAATTCTCCAGATTGTTGTGAACTAAGCCTGAACAGAAGTTATTATTAAAAATAGTACAAGTATTATTAAGCATGCAGTTGAATAAAATCGTCAAGAAGTCGTTTCTTCAATAGGTAATTGTTTGTTGGGTACGCACCTTATTTGTTTTCAATAAGATGCGACTACACTTCAGGAATCTCATTTTTTTATGTTTTCTTATTAAATTATCAACTTTTTGCGTTGAAATATGAGTTGAGTTTAATAAATGAAACCTTTTACACTGATGCAAAGTTTATAGGGATACACTCTAACATGAAAATACCCAATGATTTGTTTAAAAATTCAATTTTGAAGAAAACTGGTTTAATTAATTATTGGATAAATTTTTTGCCAAATTTAATGAAAATCTGTTACTCATTAAATACCAGTAATGCGTAACAGTCCCTCGTTAAATGGGTAAACAATTTACGCATTATTGAATTAAGCCGCATTTCTTCAAAATGGGTCTATTTTAGCCTTAATTGGTAATTTTCATGTTAGCAAGTACAAAAATTCCAGCTCCCTCGATGATTGTATCTTTTGCATCATATCACAAAGTCAATAGAAAAATTGAAACAACCTTTATCAGAAACGACCATTATCAGTAATGACAATCGCCACCATCATCGGAGGTGGAAAAGTGAACAAACAAGAAGGAAATTGCATATTATTTATCAACCGTTTCGATGCACTGCGCAAACAATACATGTGACACCGTATCAAACGGTAAATATCAACAACTCATCAGATTTAAGCAAACTACTGCCAACTACCTGTCCGTTTGTAAACAGGTAAAATTCATAACTGCTTACTTACTGTTTTTTTCCGCAAAAAATTATTGTTGTTGTCACCGGCGATGTAAAGATGGTCTCACGCCTATAAAAGTCCACATTTGAACACAGGCAATAGTTAGTATGTCGATGGAGCGGTTTCCTGATAGATATCAAGCATGAAAAACGTGGTGATTTTCGGTATCGTTCTCTTGATTGGACTCGTGGCCGCGGAAGAACACTGGTGGCAGCATGCCAACTTCTACCAAATCTATCCGCGCTCGTTCAAGGACAGCGACGGCGATGGGGTAGGCGATCTCCGTGGCATTATGGAAAAGGTAGGCTATCTCAAGAACGAACTCGGTCTGGACGCGGTCTGGTTGTCGCCCATTTTCAAATCTCCCATGGCAGATTTTGGATATGATATCTCCAATTTCACGGACATCCATGAAGAGTTTGGTACGATCAGTGATCTAGAGAACCTAGCTCAGGAGTGTAAGAAACAGAACTTGAAACTGATTCTGGACTTTGTGCCGAACCACAGCAGCGATGAGCATCCGTATTTCGTGAAGTCGGAAAAAAAGGAACCGGGATACGAGGATTACTATGTGTGGCATCCGGGAAAACTGCTGGACAACGGAACACGTGTACCACCTTCGAATTGGATTAGTGTTTTCCGAGGAAGCGCCTGGCAGTGGAGTCCAGTGCGCCAAGAGTACTACCTTCATCAGTTTGTGATCAAACAGCCTGACCTGAATTATCGCAGTGCCAAAGTTGTGCAAGATATGAAAAATGTGCTTCGGTTTTGGTTGGAAAAAGGTGTTACTGGATTCAGAGTTGACGCCCTACCATATCTATTCGAAAATGAAACAGTCAATGGAGTGTATCCGGATGAACCGAAATCAGGAACTACCGACGATCCGGATAATCCAACTTATCTCGAACATCCCTACACACAAAACCTGGACGAAACATTTGAAATGGTATATCAGTGGCGCGAGGTCTTGGATGAGTTCAAAGCATCCTCAGGGGCTACCGATGATCTGATTTTGATGATTGAAGCTTATACTCCGTTAGAAAACATCATTCGATTGTATGGTTCCGGAGACCGGCGCGGAGCTCAAATTCCGTTTAACTTCGAAGTTCTGAGCAACATCTTTAAAGACAGTACGGCTGTAGATTTCCACAAATATGTCATGCGCTTTTACGATGCTCTGCCGCCAAATCAGTATGCAAACTGGGTGGTAAGTAGACCTGTTTGAAGCCAACATAGCTCTTCACCCATTCCATATGCAATTTTCCCGATTTCCAGCTAGGAAACCACGACAACAAGCGTCTAGCTTCCCGACTGGGTGTCGCCCGTGCCGACCTGTACAACATCGCCCTCAACACGTTGCCCGGCATAGCTGTGGCCTACAACGGTGAGGAGCTTGCCATGGAAGATGTCTACATCCCCTGGAAGGACACCGTAGATCCAGCTGCGTGTAACTCAAATCCTCGAGACTTTATGCTGTATTCTCGGGACCCAGCCAGAACTCCGTTCCATTGGGATGACAGTGTGAGTGCCGGGTTCTCCACTAGCTCCAAAACGTGGCTTCCGGTCTCCCCCTACTACAAGCAGAACAACTACAAGCTGCAGAAATCCACCCCGAGAAGTCACGTGAAAATTTTCAAATCCCTGCTGAGACTGCGCAAACAGAGGACCCTGAGAGAAGGGTCGTTCGATATCAAGCTGGTCGACGAGAATTTGCTCGTTTACAAGAGGGAGCTAGCCGAGGTCAGTACGATTGTGGTCGTTCTGAACTTCCATAAATCGGCCCGAACGGTGAATCTGTCCGAAGTGTTCGAGGGATTGCCGTTGGAGTTTGAGATCATTACTTCCTCGTTGCAGACGAACTATATCGATGGGTAAGTTAGGGTTAAATTTTAACTATCTAATGACATACGATTGATAAGTGGGAAGATTATTCACTGATTTCGATGCATTTTTTTTTTCTATTTCAGCTCCGTTTTGGACCGCGATCAGATCGTTCTCCCAGCTGAAACGGGCATTGTTCTAGAAGGAAATGTCAAAAATGGCGTCTAAACGTTGAAATACAATCAAATGCTAGTAAAATTCTAGATTTTGTTTACTATATTAATTATTAAACTTTACTTGGAAAAAGTTATTAACGCTTAGAATTTTACTAAATTTTCGAACTCCTGAACTCTAGAAAAATCGCGATCGGACAAGAAGTAAAAAAGAAAATGATCAATATGACGCACAGCACAAATTTTGGGAGACTCAGCACCATTTGGATTGGGCTACCTTTTATTTAAGATTCTGGGCATCAAAGAGTTTCAGGGTCGAAGATTTTCAGTCTTTCAACAACATTGCAATTAATTTTAGACAATCATCTGAAACTCGAGGCTTCTCATCCGGGTCAGTCATTCGAGGCATACATTCTCATCTTATCAAAGCTCGAATCTAGATCACCCACTCGAAGTATTATTCAAGGTTTAATGTCAGAAGCTATTATATTAAGCCACTCGAGGCATATGGGAACTATCTGAGCCACCCAAAGTTATCATTTGAGTCAGCCATTTGGAGCGAACAAAAAAAAATCATTTGATGCTTTATATAAAATATAAAAGTATTTCATGAAAAAAAATATTGCTTAGTTCGAATCGGGGAGATATGAGCGCCCCTCATATTTTAAACATTTTCATTCAAAAGAACATTCGGTAAACAGTGGCAATTGTGAAACCCATGATTACTTACCGTGGGTAGATCACCTTTTCGTGGTACGAAACAAACACATCTTAGTCCTTGTTACTTTGTATGCCTTGTTAATAGTGATAAGTCCTCGGGTTGCCTGGACCGAGGATGATCTTGAATCAAGCAAAACATGAGTTTTTGTAACACTAGTTTACAGCATTTTCGAACTTGGTAAGGTGATGATCATTTCCAATGCAAAATCCTACGCTGAATTCAATGCCGTGGTCAGAAAAAATTAAAGTAGAGCCATTTTTGAGATATACAAAAATTTTGATTTTTTGAATTTTGGACAAAAGTACGATTACTAAAATGTCAATATCTTTGGAACTAGTGCAGCAATTTTAAATCTTTTTTTATGGAAGTGAAGCTAAATAAATTTGCTATCGTTCACTAGAATATTATGTCTTAATTAAAAATTTAATTTTGAAGTCATTTAAAAATTTACAGCTTTTTTTTATTTTTCCTGCGAATTTTGCATAAAAAATCTTGTTTTAATCAACATTTTTAATGGGATAAAAAGATTCAAAAAATAATTCCATAATTTATTCTTAAAGTCCATTCAAAACCGGAGAAAATGAGCCTTTAATGGATGAAATCGGTTGGAAATTGTCGAACTTATGAGCACTTTTGTAAAACACTTAAAAATGTTGCTGAAATACAACAGCTTTAGAGTTCCTTTTCTAGGTGTCGTTGTAAGCATCCAAATCGCATGTAAAGTTTTCATGGGAGATTCTTTTCTCTACATATCAATTTGATTAAGGCATATCAGGATTTAAAACCGAGTTGATACAAAAGAAATTTATTTAGGTTTTATTAAAAATGATTGAGAATCGAATGACTTTGTCTTCGATGTTTTGAACTTGTTTCTCGAATCAGAAACCAACAATAGTCACCCATCATTGCTTCATCCCAAAACCCTTGGTAACGACGTTCCATCATCTTCATTTGTTGGTGAAAACGTTGGCCGTGCTCATCACTCTCGTCACCAAGATTTTCCGGGAAAAAATCCATGTGAGAAAATGTATCTTCAAAGACATATTCACACCTGTGTTCAGTGAAATAAAAGGATTTGAAATTAATTATATGTAACAAACACAATATTTTTGATTAATACCTATTTTCTCATAATTTTTGAGCAATTCATGGACGGCTTCCTCATAATCTGGGCTTCTGAAATTTCCTCCTTCTTCCTCATCTGGTGTCAAAACTGTATTGAATGCGGAATCATTGAGCAGTTTTTTGATCTGTGGGCCAACAAATACACCTTCCTTTATCTTTGCGTCAGATAAATTTGGAAATACTGATTTCAAGTACTGGAATGCCGGCCCTTCTTTTTGCAACGCTTTGACGAAATTTTTGAATAGCCCAAGTTTTATATGTAGTGGTGGAAGTATTATGCGTTCTTTTACCACAAGAGGATCATTTTTAACGTTGTCTTTACCAATTGTGAAATTATCCCGTTTTGTCCAATCTTTTCGGACGTAGTGTTCCTTACGAGCTCGACTGTCCCATTTACACAAAAAACACATATATTTTGTGTATCCCTGTTGCAATCCAGTCAACATGGCAACCACTTTAAGATCGGAACAAATTTTCCAATTGTGTTGATTGTAATTTATCAAATTGAGCAATAGAGCCATTGATTCATACGTTTCCTTCATATTAACGGCATGAGCTAATGGAATAGAAGGTTTCTCATTCCCTTGATGCAGTAAAACGGCTTTCAAGCTCAACTTGCTGCTATCGATGAATAAACGCCATTCAGCTGGATCATATGGCTCACCAAACTCTTCAAACAAGCCGTTTACGTCATGGCAAAAACATGCCTTGTCCTTTGTAGAATAATATTTGTCAAATTTCTTGTGACGATTCCTGTGACAAGAAATTTTGACCTCCTTGCTCAGCATGTTGTGTTCTTTCAAGCGTGATGCCAGCAATTCGGATTTCTCCTTCGATAAGTCGAGATCTCGCACCAAATCATTAAATTCGGATTGTGTAAACAGTTTTGGGTTTCTTTCCAATTCCACCTCGAAGTCTTCCTTGCATTCCTCCTTGAATTCCTCCTCACTTTTTGTAACGGTCGATTCAACAGAGGGCGCTCGTTTCCGCTTTGGATAAACAGGATACGGGACCGAACTTGAATGTGGAACAGGTTTTGTCATAGAAGCCACTTGTGGATACTCAACTGTTTTGTGACGTCCTTGTTGCTTAACTTTTGTCAAGCAGAAATAACAATCCGTTGCATGACAAAACGGTCGACGCCATATGGTGGGCATGTCAAAGGACAAATAGCGACTGACAGATAACAAATAAGTGAGTTAGTAAGTAAGACATTAACACTTATCAAAAATAGATGAAGTAAGATAATGTCGATCAGGAAAGAACAAAGCACTACCATGCTGTACATAAATTGTTTATATGAAAGTTATTCAAAAATTCAATTTACCTTGCGCCTGACATCCACCTAGCCAAGCACGTTTTGCACGAACTACATAATACTTTTGGAATCCACGGTTCGTCAAAGTCTCCAGGATCAATTTTAAAATAAAGCCTGTATGCAGTTTGCAACGAAGCAGTGAAATTGACCGATTTTGTAAATATATAGTTGCCACACGCGTAACAAAACTTTTGAGGATCATTTTTACACTTGAATTCACGTTTTGTCGTATACATCGTTAAGCAATGTTAAAGAAAGAAAGCTGTCAAATTGAGTTGGTTGCGTTAGGTTCTCGCCGAGCGGTCTCACAAACACTAGCGTAAATAATATTGTTGAAAATATCCCATTTAATTTTGCGTGACAGCTGGTAGTGTTAGTGAAATGCAACATATGCGTACACGTCCGCAGAAAGGCAGACTGGAAGTGGTGCATGAACCTAGGAGCGGGACAACGGCCAATCTTGGAACATTCAATTTCCATGATTTTACAAAAAATTTCATAACTTCGACAATTTCCAACCGATTTCATCCATTAAAGGCTCATTTTCTCCGGTTTTGAATGGACTTTAAGAATAAATTATGGAATGATTTTTTGAATATTTTTATCCCATTAAAAAATGTTGATTAAAACAAGATTTTTATGGAAAATTCGCAGGAAAAATAAAAAAAAATTGTGTAAATTTTTAAATGACTTCAAAATTAAATTTTTAATCAAGACATAATATTCTAGTGAACGATAGCAAATTTATTTAGCTTCATTTTCATAAAAAAAGATTTAAAATTGGTGCACTAGTTCCAAAGATATTGACATTTTAGTAATCATACTTTTGTCCAAAATTCAAAAAATCAAAATTTTTGTATATCTCAAAAATGGCTCTACTTTAATTTTTTTCTGACCACGGCATTGAATTCAGCGTAGGATTTTGCATTAGAAACGTTGGTCAACCACTAAAGTTCACACTTTTTATGTTGTTTTGTAAACTAGTGTAATCAAAGGAACACATCTTAGGCTTTTTTTACCCTTCTTACAAAGAAGGGTATAGATATCACTTGAAAAACCGACTATCGATCCGAGGCCCCGAGGGCCGAGTTTCATATACCATTCGACTCAGCTCGACGAGATCGGAACATGTCTGTGTTTGTGTGTGTATGTGTGTATGTGTGTATGTGTGTGTGTATGTAACGAAATGAATGCGCTCACGTTTCTCAGCAACCGCTCAACCGATTTGGACAAACTCGGCGCCAAATGATAGATCTTGAGGTCCCATTGAACGCTATTGAACGGTGAACCGATTCCGGAGATATGGTCGGAATAAGATCCGGTGAATATGGGCCTTCACGCTGGATTTAACGGAAAACGTATCAAAACCATCATATACCATTCGACTCAGCTCGACGAGATTGAAACATGTCTGTGTGTGTGTACGTGTGTATGTGTGTATGTGTGTATGTGTGTATGTGTGTGTGTATGTAACGAAATGAATGCGCTCACGTTTCTCAGCAACCGCTCAACCGATTTGGACAAACTCGGCGCCAAATGATAGGTCTTGGGGTCCCATTGAACGCTATTAAACGGTTTTGGAATCGGTGAACCGGTTCCGGAGATATGGCCGGAATAAGATCCGGTGAATATGGGCCTTCACGCTGGATTTAACGGAAAACGTATCAAAACCATCATGCGACACATCAAATTACTACAGAATTCAAAAATAAGATCAATGCAAGTCGTGTTAAGTGTTCCAGACCACATTGGACACACTTGGACATGTTCCGGGTACCCCGGGGAAGTTGCTTGAATATGAATTGAATTAAAACCCATTAAATCACATTAAAATACGATGATAAGGTGATTGGTAGCCTCACCAAATAGACTACACCCGGATATATTCCGGGTACCCCCAGGCAGTGGCGTAGCGTCACTGGATGACACGGGGGTGGGAAGCTTGGTCACTGATAATGACAATAAAATAAATAAACTTGAATAAGTAAGAAGGGTCTGATCACACCATAGGTGGATAAATTCGGGTTTTTTACTTTCTTTTTGCCTTTTTGATAGTGACAAGACTCGGCTGTGCCCACCGAGGATGATCTTATAATAAGGAAAAAATGAGTTAGGTAGTTATTTTTCATCTACGTGATTCCTAATCTTTTATTCGCTTTTCTCTAGTTTGAAGTGGTTAAGACTACACGGCGAATGAAAACGACTCAAATTTGAGGATTCTGATGCATGGTCATTGTCGGTGTTACTGCTTGATTTTGTTGCAAAGGAATCCGTTTTTGACTGACAAAGGGTATAAAGAACGGCACCTTACAATTAGAGTCGGATCCTTGCGATAAAGGCAAGAATGACAACTGTATCAAAACCGAATACTTCATCATTTATCAATAGTAATGGAGTAATAAGGCATGCACTAAACTAAAGACACGGGACAATAGATCAAATAACTGGTGTATTGGTCTGGTGACAAAAACAAAAGAGAGTGTTGTTCAGAGAATGTTAAAAAACCTCCAAAGGTTAGCAACTCTCTCAATAACAGGTGCAATGAGAAGCACACCATTGAAGACATTGGGTGCTTTGCTTTATATGCTACCATTGCATACCAGCCGAAAAGTTTGCTCTAATGATTACAAGGAGGACTTCTCAGGATTCTAAAAACTGTTAGTATCACCTTTTATTTGGGGTCTGATGTTAACATGTTTAGCGCTTGCTGGTGGCTCTCTTGGTGTGCCGGATTGCGTGTCTATAGATATACATATGTCTATGCAAATAGACTACCATGCATCGTGACCATGTACAATCGCTATAAATCAATGGAAACGCATAGTACACTGGAGTCGCTTTTTACGCGGTTTTTTTTTACACGGTTTTTTTTACGCGGTTTTTTTTTACGCGGATTTCGGAATTTACGCGGTTTTTTTTTACGCGGATTCCGGAATTTACGCGGTTTTTTTTTACGCGGATTTTGGTTTTTTTTACGCGGATTTCAGAATTTACGTGGTATATCGCTTTTTACGCGGTTTTTTCTTACACGGTCTTTTTTTACTCGGTTTTTTTTTACGCGGATTTCGGAATTTACGCGGTTTTTTTTTACGCGGATTCCGGAATTTACGCGGTTTTTTTTTACGCGGTTTTTTTTTACGCGGGACGTATCACCCGCGTAAAAAGCGACTCCAGTGTAGTCTAGTCACATAAGAGTATTGAGCGAAAATCCAAAACTTTACAACTTCAAAAAACTATAACTCAAAATAGAAAAAAAAAAACACATCGCTGATTTATATATGTGTTGATATGTTGTGTAAAAAAGCCTAAATTGTCAAGGAAAAATTTAAAAACATATTGTGCCCTCTGTCTACCAACCATCAAAACCATAAACAAAGTATTAGGCTGATGTTTTGGCAAAAATGTACAAGTGAAACACATGAATAAAATAATTAATTTTCATTTCGTGTAGAACATACGGTTTTCAAATGGCTCGCAAACGCCAAGCCGAATGAGTTCTCACCACTAATGTGTTCATGCCAACTTGAAGTTTCATTCGTCCATAGATTATATGAACGAATCACGCAGAATTTGACAACTTTTTTTTTATCAAAGAAAAGGTACTAAAATACTTAACAATCACATTTTATCAAACTTATTTAAAACAAGCTATAACATTAAAATATTGAGACCATTATGCATCCATTAGTTAGAATAGAATTGAATACAAGAAAATCATTAATGGATCCACTGGCTTCGGTGTCTTCAATGAAAACTCTAGCGCCTTCCGCAAACTTCAGGAACCTTGTTCCGTTTTTGTTGCTGAGCTGGCAGCAATCAACTTCGCATTGGGGATGATTTCCAACATGCCCACAGACCATTACTTCATCTTCTCGGATAGTCTCAGTTCGATTGAGGCTATTCGGTCGATGAAACAAGGTAGGCACTCATCTTATTTCCTTTCAAAGGTAAGGGAGCAGATGTGTGTGCTGGTCGAAAGATCATATATGATTACCTTTGTATGGGTCCCCTCACATTGCTCAATCCCAGGCAATGAGAAGGCGGACTCTCTCGCAAAGGTGGGCGCGCAGGAAGGCGAATTTTATGACAGGCAAATTTCACACGATGAATTTTACCATTTAGTGCGTCAGAGTACCCTTTCGAGTTGGCAAACCGATTGGGACACTGGAAATCTTGGACGGTGGTTACATTCAATTATTCCTAATGTTTCTTCGAGAGCGTGGTATAAAGGCTTGGGCTTAAGTCGTGACTTCATTCGCGTGATGAGTAGACTTATGTCCAACCACTACTCGCTAGATGCTCATCTCAATAGAATAAACCTCGTGGACAGCAACATCTGTCGGTCTGGAAACGGTTACGATGACATCGAACACGCAGTTTGGCAATGTACGGATAATGACGCCGCCAGAGAGCGACTTTTGAATACCCTCGAGGCCCAAGGAAGACAACCCTATGTTCCTATCAGAGACGTGTTGGCAACCCGTGATCTCTGCTATATGCAGTCCGTTTATGTTTTTCTTCAAATGTCTAGTATAAGAATTTAATTCCTTTTGTCTTTTGTCTCTCTTTATTAGTTTTTGTTTGTCTTGTCCCCCCGTATCGATGAGTCTCATCGTCGCCCACTGGTCACCCACCATAGCCGGTCGAACTCCGGACGAAGCTAGAACAGCACTACCATTCATACTGGCGACAACACTCTGATGAGACAACGAAACCCTACCCCAAGCTCCTCCCCTGATCCTATCCTTCGAAAATGTACCCTTCTAACCTCGAGTAAGCCGCGAGTAATCGGCCCAACTCCTACTAGACATAGAATTAAGTGAATCTTGTTACACACAGTGAACAATGAATTATCGGCTCCGTAAAGCTAACGCGATTGAGCCTTCCAAATAAACGAACTAGATAAAAAAAAAAGAAACTCATTTTCTGAGAAATATTGACCATTGAACATCTTGTTTATGTCTGGTAAGGTCTGTTACAAAATAGTTAGTTTTGGAAAAAAAAATCGCTCTAAATTATGTCATTGTTTAAACACTTCTCATGTATAGTCTACATTGGCTTGACGAACTGAATAAATAAATTAAATAAAAAATTTAAACATCTTTTAACGTATTTTAACCGTTGCCACTTTGTGCAGCATATTTTTAACAAATATATAGGGGAAATGGATGTGCCCCTAATTTTGACCCATCATACATAAATTGAGCGATCGACTAAATTTTCAATAGCGACCAAAAATATCCATTAGTACCGTCCCAATGACGCGTTCATCTAGACAACATTGATAAATAGCAGATTTTTAGCGATGGGCCCAATCTTAGATCCAACAAACATTGAATGTTGAATAAGAGCTTATTCAGGCAAAAACAAGCTTCTTCAGCTAAAAAATAGCTTATTCAGCTGTTGATCAACTCAAATTGTTTGTTGGGATAGGCCAACATTAGAGCCATTTCCTCTATTTCTTAGCTTTTACTGGTGAAATTTAGTTATGTCTCTTACCGGTTCGAAAATATTGGTTCACTTTCTCTTATTTTTTCTGAAATTCACATACAAGGCCAATGAGATCAACCCAAATTTGAGTTCAGTTTACTCATAAATCGCAAAAAGTGCAGTAACTCAGCGCAGATATTTTTCATATTTTGTGATAATTGTATAATATAATTGACTTTATTTAGCGCGTTTTATGATTTTTTAGAAAGTTCCCTGAATTTCTACGAAACTTCCCTGAAATTAAAAAAAAAATCCTTGCTGTCAAAGAATTTCCCTGAATTTCTATAAAATTCTCAATTTTTCTTCAAACTTCGAATTTCTACAAAGTTTAATGAATTTATACAAAATTAAATGAACTTCTACAATATAATTAACACTGTTTCGAAGTTAAATAAAGTTCCATGAACTTCGCCGAGCTTCTGCAAATTTAGCTAACCTTGAATAACATTTGCTGCAGTTCTAGAAAGTTTAATGATCTTCGAAGTACTACGAAGTTCAGCGAAATCAAATTATATTCACCCGGTATCAGTCAAGACAAGGACATTTCGGCCATCTCGTTGAAGATTTTTTTATACCTGCCATCCCTGTTTTCCACAACAAAATATGCGAATGCGGAGTGCCGAGTACACTCTCCGATCAATGAGCGGTAAACAGGTGAGGCAATAGACTTCTCTGGCGTTTGTTAAATGGACAAAAGTATTAGCGCAGAACTTGAGGTAAATTATAAGTATTAGTGCAAGAAAACCTTTGAAGCTACCCAAAGTTCTGCACTAAACTTGTGCAATTCGCAAACGTCAGCGAAGGCTATGTGAATTCGTCGTTATCCCACTGTTTAAATGGTTTCAGTGAGTGTGATGTCAGAGAGGTTCTCACCTGTTTACACTCATTGGGGATAGTGCACTCACGCGAACGTCGCGACGCTGGAGCACAGTGTCTCGTTCTGCTTCTGTCAGATTTTCGCGATAGGCAACAGTGACAGGTTCACTAACACTATCGTATACTTCGCATCCCATGCGCATCTGTGTATGTGATCGCGTGAGAACGCTTTTCTTTTTCTAGCCATCAAACTCAAACCCCATCAGCACCCAGCAGGCAGCAGCAGCGAGCAGCATTTTTATATCATACGACGTCGTCGCGGTCGCGGTGGATGGATTGTTGAGGAGTTGAGTTGTCATCGTTCGGAGTAGTTTTCCTCGGTGGAAAAAGAGTTGGAAAATCTCCGTCGTGGATCTTTTTTTCTGTGCTCCGGAGTTCTAGGCTTGGAAGTGTCATAACATTCAACCAGGGCGGAATACACGAACAAACGAATAGTGCAAAAGGAGTGCCGTGCGTCGACAAGACACGGAAGCCAAAAAAGTGGTCTGCGACGCTCGGGAAAGGAGAGTAGCAGTAGGACGATTGTGATTCCTTGGTGCAAGGTTAAGATTCCGAGGCTTTCGGAGAAAGGCGAGCATGGGTAATTTTCTTCAAAAAGAATCTTCCAGAGAAAGGAATCGATTACGCTTTGATTGGATTGCAACATCAGTGTTTTTTTTCTTTGAATGATTTTGGTTGTGTCAATGAGCGGTAGTTGATTTTTAGATTTTTTTAAGAAAAAAGTTGCCTTCGTATGACATAGCGTGAGTTGTTGAACTATTTCTGTATTAATTCGACGGAAGCGCCGACTCGAATCCCTGGGTTATCGTTTTGCTGTGATGAATGGATCCTTTGAGCACACTTTTTCATTGCTATTTTTATAGATTTAAAGCGAACGTCCAAATATGAACCACCGCTCATGTGTCACCAACAGGAACGTCACTCGCTTCTTTTATTACTTGATTCATAAGCAGCAAACTGGAATGACTAATGAATGTTTTTTTTTGTGTCGCTCTCATCTCCGTTCTGAATTTCAGCGTGTGTAGAATAGAGCTATCCGGGCCGTTACGTCTACTCGATTAACCTACGAGCCCTTCGTGTATGCTCGCTCTCGCTGGTGATAACTAGTCGCTGTCGTCGTAGTTGTGGTCTTCAGCCAGTAATTGAAGACTAATCTAATCAATGTGTGCTCCCAGTTCATCATAGCGGAGGCAATCCATCGGTAGCGGTAGCATCCCGGGTTCTAGCTAACAAAACTGATGCTAATTTGAATGGAGTTACACAGCGAACAGCGGCAGCAGCAGCAACAACAACAACAACAACAATATCAACGATAGCCTCGTCGTCGGTATGCGGTATTTTGGTGATAGGCGTTCCCGAGTTTGTTATCAGAAGCGAGAAAGACTCGGAACGGTGACGACGTCTACGGCCCGTATCGTCAAGTGGTACCATCATTATTGACGTTGAAAGAATCTGATTACTCACCGGAGGGCATACGGATAGTTATTATCCGTGCGTGCGTGCGTACATGTGTACATTCAAAGAATCAATACGAACAAACGAGTAATAGTTGTTCTCAGTCTGGATGACGTTGTGGTAGGCAATTGTATCCTACTCGAATATACAGTTTTGTAATCGTTCGTAATACCACCATTTACCAGTTAGTAGTATCGTTTTAAAGTGCTCAAATCAATCCATTGATTGTTGGTGGATAAAGTGTGTGTTAGGAAGTACCTATACCTTCGACCAACGAGAAGACTCCGTGTGTAGCTTCTCGCAGTTTTAAGGAAGCCAAGTACAATCATGATAAAAGCATGTCAGCAGCGATGATCTCCATTGTACACTGTTTGGCAATAGGGATACTGATCTTCTGGTGCGGGAAATGGATCGTGCACGCGATGGCCATCACCTATGGCAAGCTGAAACTACACAAAAAGACCACCTCGGCGACGCTGCCACGTGAAACACCTTACCCATCGGTTTCCATTCTGAAGCCATTGATGGGGATGGATCCAAATCTCTCCAGCAATCTGGAGACGTTTTTCCTGATGGACTATCCCACGTACGAGTTGCTATTTTGTATAGAATCATCCGACGATCCCGCAATCGACGTGGTGAATCGATTACGGGAAAAGTATCCAAACATCGAGACAACGCTCCTACTGGGAGGATCCAACGTTGGCGTCAACCCAAAAGTAAACAACCTCTATCCGGGCTACCTGGTGGCCAAGTACGAGCTGATTATGATTTCGGACGCAGGAATCCGCATGAAATCCGACACCCTAACGGATATGGTGAATCACATGACCGAACAGGTCGGCCTCGTGCATCAGATGCCGTTCGTGTGTGATCGGGAAGGTTTCGCAGCCGCTTTCGAGAAGATCTACTTTGGAACAGTCCAATCGAGGATCTACCTTTGTGCCGATCTACTCGGCATCAACTGCCACACGGGAATGTCCTGTCTCATGCGGAAGGACGTCCTCGATGAGCTCGGAGGAATCCAGTCGTTCGGATGCTATCTGGCGGAGGATTTCTTTCTGGCCAAAGGCTTCCACGACGCCGGTTGGAAGCTCACCATCAGCAGTCAGCCTGCCTGGCAAAACTCCGGCATTTGTGATATTAGCAGCTTTCAGGCACGACTTATACGCTGGGCGAAACTGCGTGTTGCGATGGTACCCACCACCATCCTGCTTGAACCCCTGTCCGAGTGCATCATCGTCGGAATGTTTGCCTGCTGGGCAGCGAAAATCCTATTCCGATGGAATCCACTCGTGTTTTTCCTCATCCACACCCTGTTCTGGTTCCTGTCGGACTGGATCCTGCTGTCAATCATCCAGAATGGGTCGTTACCATTCAACAAGTTCACCTTCTTTGTCGGTTGGGCGTTCCGGGAGCTCAGCGGACCGTATCTCTTTTTCAATGCCCTCTGGAACCCGGCCATCAGATGGCGGACGAGGGTCTACAAGCTGGCGTGGGGCGGAGTGGCCTACGAGCTAACCTCCCAAATCAAATCGTAGCTTACCCACTCACAACACGAAACCCACAAAGCCCACACTCATCTAACTATTATTATTTTGTGTTAACGATGTATAAAGTCTAATTTATAAACCAATCCTACACATAACGATATATTTTCGAACATTTTACCTATAGGGAAGTTTGTTTTAGCGTTTAAGCAAAAAAGATTCCAACCAAACAGTCGAATCGCGGTTTTCTACCTTTCGTTCGTACGCATCTTGTGTAAATATTTATGTAACTGCTAAAAACAGTGTTATTTACTGAATTAGAACCCCCCGCGCATGTTCCCTGGTCGCTACGTTCCTTTCAGTTAAGGCAAGAATTGATTAATATCAAGGTGAAGATTCGATACGCGTCTAATAAAACAAACAAAAAATGTCCAAAGCACTACCGTCAAGTACCTGTAACTCTTATTTATTGAAGAAACCTTGAAGCTCTGACTTTTGGTCACATTTCGTCGACTGATTCGTGTAGTAGTGGGAAATGGGTTAAGTCAAAAGCACTATGGCATTGATTAGTCATCTCGGCCTTTTTTTGTATACTGTTTCAACTGTGTAAACGGTCTTTCTTATCAGGCTATCGAGTGGGGAACGTCGTCTCGTGGTTGCGAGAGTATACGATAACAATCGCTATTTAGTTAGCTCGGTATGGTACACACCTACTGCTGCAATCTCTATCCTGGTAGCGCGCGACGATTCATAGATAAATACTTATTTCCCACAAATTTCATACGCCCCATCAAGGAAAGCATAATACAACATTCTAGAACGATGATATGCTATCTTAACTCTGTGCTGTGGTTTACCTGCTCGGTCTTAGCAGGTTCGATTTTTTATCGATTTAATTTACATCAACTGCGATAAAACCGGTTCCAGGGAAATACCACTAAGTCACTTTTCGATTATTTCGAAACGCGTGAAATATTCGTATATGCCGCGGTTTAATCTCAAGCTGTCCTTTTGGTCGACGTTAAGTCAGCGGGCACTAGTAACCAAATTTAAAGACATGAGATAATGATACCAGCATTGAATCAAGAATTACCTCAGTTACAGTTCACTGTTGTCACATTTGGTAGATGAGCAAAATTAGCACGCCAACTCACGAATCGATTTTATTTTTCCCTCTCCGAATTCCATGAAACTTCGTTGATACACGCCTAATTTTTCAAGAAGGCGGATTTTCCTATTTTTCAATAAATCATAGCACGAAAACGGCTCACCTAATCGAAATGACGTCTAAGACTAAGTTGTAGTAAACTCGATTACCATTTCAGACAAAAAAAAATCACAAATTTTCATATTTGAAGATGCTAATTTTAAATAACAGACTAAAGTAGGGGAGTTTGGTAAAGAGAGATGATAAAACCGATTTTTACCTTCCTTAAAAGTTGTCCTTGCTCACTTTCTACTCTAAATACAATTTTCACACTGCCGTACTCTAATGGTACTATCAACTCTATACTTTCATCATACAAAACTTCTATAGTAAAAAAGTACATTTTAAGATTTTTAAGCTTAATGTTTATTTGAAAGCTCATAAAAATGCTAACTTATCTGAAATAATTGATAAATCATAAATTGTCTTTTAACCGTTATGTAATTTGATGAGAGCATCGTAATGGTGAAAGAGACTGGGGCGTAAAACTGAGAGTTCGCTACCTAACAAAACATCCTGAGTACTGCTCTGGGTCTGACTTAACACCGACCATTTGTTGTTGCATAACCCCGCATTCCAACATTGAACTTTAATCTAAGTTCTGAAAAATCGAAACGGAAACAAACCCGAAAACATGAATAGAACACACCGCCGCCAGAATGAACAGCAATTTCATCACCCATCGCTCAGGAATAGCTAGGTAGCGAAGAGCAAAGTCAGACCCGACCCCGATAAGGTGAGACACACAGCGCGGTAGGGGATTAGGCGTCCGTTCGTTGGGATTCGTCGTGCGATAACAGAAAGTATAGCCGAACCAGGCGCTGTTGTACCAGTTCTGTGCTGTAGCAGTAGCACCATCAGCGCTGATGATTGAATCCAACAAGTAGAATGAACCGTGCCTATCCTCCGGAACGGGGAAGGTGATAAGGGTATCGGGAAAGCCTGTTGCGTTTGAACAGTGCAAATTATATATAAAATTCATCAGCAAAAAAACTTTTGACCTCACCCTCAGCAGAGGAGCAACAAGATGCGAGAAGACCCGAACCAATAAGTCGCCGCTGGTAGGTAATGTGGGTACGTGCTATCTCCCATGGCAAGCAGGGGAAAGTGGGGCAAGATGTCCACCCTAACGACAGTCGAATGAAATTTCACTATTTTAATCAGAAAATAATTCTTACAGAAGCTTCAAGGGTTAGTTTTTTTCCTATGAACTTTGATCATAACCTAGTCTTAACTGTATGACGAACTTGATCAATTTCATTATATTGTGTTTTTGTAAAGAGCATGCACGCTGTAGTGGGTACTCCGTTACTGATCAGAACCAGTGAAATTGCACAGAGGACCACATAGATGGAACTTGGGGTAAGATTTCCGTCTTCAATGTACAAGTTCACTGATTAATAGATCAGATCACTATGTATAGATCAGTACCAGATCAGCATCAGATTGCAGTGAATTGATTGTTTTTCTCTCGTTTTAAAAATCGAGATGGAAGTAAATGGGATCGAAAAAAATATCGCTGTGCTCAGAAAACGAATCCCATAGAAACCGATTAGATCGTAAGTAGTATTGATCGATTCTTTTAATCGAAATTGTCTTTGTTTATAACTTGGCTACAACACCGTTTCTTGCCGTATTAGATGCCAGATAGAAGCTACTTTTATCGAACTATGTGTTGAATATACATGGCCGTGAAGCAGTGTTGTAAATTTTCATATCATTCGGTTGAAGATGAACCAATACAACCTTTCAATCAATTATGTGTAAACGAATTCTAACATGACCATAATTTGAAGAGCCCCTTTCTACTTCGAAGCTCATTGTAATTGTCAATTGAGTCACTCACTATCATTTGATATACGACAGTGGGGTGTGGAAGAAACCCAGCAAAATGGTCCCGAACAGACAAGTCGACCCGTTGTCGGATCAATGTAAGACGATTTCGACCCAATGTCGTGTTGTTGTCGGGTCAATTTTGGTTTCATGCCGGGTTAACATCGGGTTGGGGTTTGGTAGAAGTCAGGTTGGTGTCGGGTTGAATTTGCTTTTTCACCGTTTATGTGTAGGTTACACTCAATTGAATAATATATAGCGTTTCTCAAATGAGAATGATCCATGCCTTCGTCAAATGACTAAGCAACTGATATCACCCATTCAAAGGAGGTCCTCTTTGATAGCGAATAGCTACTTTTCTCATTTTCATCAAAAATGATCAAATAATTTTGAGAATTTACAGCACTGCCGTGAAGATGCAAAGAGAAAATCGACGAAGAAAATCTGTCAATGCCACTTAGGACCTAATCCATTGTTCTGCTTGAATTGCCAAGAGACGTGGTTTAGACATAGAGGTAACTCTAAGACTAGAAGGTCCCGAAATAACGTGCTCAACTTTTTGGCTCAGCTCTGGTACTCTCTTCGGTCCCAAGCTAATCGATGCACCCCTTGAAACATAGGAAAATCCACGAGCCCCTCATTTTATCTGTCAAACTTTAATAGCGAATCAAAACAAACCTAGTGTAGTACTAGAATTTCGACTAGAATGGGATACGTTAATCGTTTGCTTGGGACCAATAGGCTAGTCAAGTAGTGAGCCAATTTGAAATCGTTAGTTTCGTATTGATTGTTGGTTTAGAGGTGATCCACGTCTTGTCCCATATGGACATCGTACCCCACTTTCCCCTACAACGGTTCGGACAAAGATTCAAAACGAAAAGGCACGCTTGTTTGCGCTGAATTTAGGTACAAAACACAGAACAGAAGGGGAAGTGCAAACAATTCGGTGAATCAAAAAGTGGTACGTTTTTCTGCTCAACAAGCGATGCGATGTGGTAGCGTTCCACACTGGATGTCTATGCGCACTCACACTATCATGTCATCATCTATGCGCACTTACACTATCACTAGTGTTCGCCAAATAATAGTGGGGTCACTTTCTGATCCGAAGTTCCACTTCTGTTCTGTGTACAGAACTAACCTATTTGCGGAAGACATGGAGGAAGTAACGACCATTGTAAGTGATAATTAAAGCTTATCTTCCGCGTCTTTGAATAAGTAATGAGTAAAGAAGAGTGTTTATTTGAATACACGCGTGGTCAAGAATACGACTCATTATTTGGTGGGGTGCACGATGGAAAATGACAGGTGGGCAGGAACTCACAGTCTCCCAGTGTTGTTGAGTTCTTTGCCGTTAATGTTCACGAAAAGTTCACTATTTTGCTATACAGAAATTCAAAACAAAAATTTTATCTGCGGATTTGAACAGTTTTTGACCTGTTTCATACTACCGGAAGGTGTATGCTGGTCACAAATGCCGTGCCGAACTGATTTCCTACTCAGTTAATCAATCTTTGATGTGAAATTCGCTAATAAACACGAGGCGCATTTCTTATAGCAAACATGCCATAACAAAATGGGCATGGTTCATTTAAGTAAACAAACTAACACTTCTTCCGACTGTTACACCTATGTATTAGCCGTCTCGGTCTCGGGTGGGGTGTGTACATTTGCCAAAATGCATTATCAATCGCATTTACGTTGTGAATCAGCTAATAACAGTTATGGATCAGTCCATGCTTTGTGTTAATAAGAGGCGTCGCGTGCCTCATTTTTTACCAAACTGTATTCGTTACCTATTTAGCCAATTTACCACACCCAACCGGGAAATGTTAGATTCTATTAGAGATGAAAAGTATGCAGAATTAGCAATATTTCGCGACACAAACAGATTCTGGTTCAGATTCACGACACAAACAGAATGTGGTCGCGGGAAGGTTTTTAAAATAAATCTGTTATTTTTATGTTAACTTATTTTACGAACAAAGTGTGTTTCCCCAGATGTATTACGTCTAGAAAATCATCTCGTGAAGGTTTTTACAAAAATATGCATTCTGGAAAAACATGAACTTCCATTGCATTTGTTGTATTAAACATATGCAGAGGATGTAATAAATCCGGGATTACTACAAAAGGCCGAATCAAAGAAGACCGAATCACAAAAGGCCGAAAACACAAAAGGTCGAATCACAGAAGGCCAAAAACACAAAAGGCCGAAAAAACTCGAGAAAGCGACACAATGGACAGTCCACTTTGTCTTTTTCCCGAATTTTTCCGACCTTTTGTGTTTTCGGTATTTTGTTAATTTATTTTTAATAAATTTAATAACATTATTAAAGTAAAGTTACAATAATCAATATTCTGCATCTTCGAAATAGAATAAAATTGAAGCTACCTAATAG